TGTAACTGACAACAAAAGAATGTAGCCTTGAATGCCCACTGCTGAAATAGTATGGAAATGGGCCTCGTGTTTGGCTAAAGTAAAGAAGAAGTTCAGTCATTCTTTTCTGTGAGGACAAAGTTTATCAGTACATAAAGGGACTTTGAAAGACACTATATCATGTGATATGTTTTAAAATAAACCATTATTTATATTCATATGACATATGTTGCCGTTTGCAGGCATGCATAGATTGAACAAATTGTGTGTTACTGCTCAGAAAAATGTTTGGAATAACAGAATCCCCCGCCCCCCATCTCTTCAAAATGGGATGTTGTGAAAGCACTCAGGATGCGATTACTCTGAAATATCTTACACCACATCATGGTCTTATGTAACCCAGACACAGATGAATAACTTTAAGATACAGGGCTGTATAAATATGCGATAAAGGCCAGGCTTTTGGCATGATCCCTAAATACTGAATTTGGAATCTCATCTCGATTTCTTTTGCATCAACAGTTATTTTGGCATATTTTTGTATGGGATCTAATCTAATGTTTAATCTGAACCAAATACCATTTTGGAAACATAATCATGATATGATTAGGTTCTGTGTTTAATAACTCAAAATATTTGTGCATTTACTACATAATTGTCAAAAATAAAACCCACATGACTTAAAAGGCTTTATTTGAAAAAAAAAAAAAAAAGCATGACATATTCTATTAAATCTCTTTTGCCTCCCACACATGGAACCAGCCATGTGTAAAATAATCTAGGAGAGCTGCAGAAAAATAAACAGTGAGACTAAACTGTGCAGTGATAGGTCTCAGAAAAATAGCATTTCTAATGAGTTATTTACAGTCACTGAATTTGAATCAGACTGCAGTGCTTGTCACAGTCGTCATGCAAAACCAAACCGTTGACTCGGTCAAATTAAGGATGCTTTTTAAACCAGCAGTCACACAGAGATAAGACGACTATGCCCAACCCAACCACAAGGGAACATAGTATCAATCTACCAAATCAAACTTTGGCTTAATCCATTTCTTTGTGGCTTTGAGAGAGCCAGACTCCTTCCGCCAGTTCTTTGGTTCTTTCGGATAACTTCCATTCGGCCTTGTAGCGTAAATCGCCCCTTTCCTCGCCCGAGTCTACCAGCTCAACACTCAGAAACATTTCTTTGTCCAAAATGACAGAGGCCAGCATCGAGTCCGGTTGTCTAGTTCTGGGTATTCTGGGAGAAGAATGGGAAATTCCTGGACGAGAAAAGCTGCTTTTAACTCCTCTGCTGTTGAAATCCTTTTCCTTTCGTTTGAATGTTGACGCATCTCTATCATCTGAGATGGATGTACTTGAGGAGCCCCCATTGGTTGAGCCAGTGCTGGCTGGTGACTGCGAGTCCTCCGATTGGTCACCGTCTGTTTGGTGGGCCAACTTCCTGTTACTTTGCTTGCTAATGGATAGCCATCTGAAATTAAGGCATCTTGTCATTGTCAGCCACAGTTCTTGAGGCCTGAATAATCCTTCCTGCTGTTTGTTTGTTTCAGAAACTGTGCCTTTTTCCTCAGTTTGTAAACAATCTAGTGGCATGTCCAACCCCAGAACCTCTCCGTCTGATGCTTCAGTGGAATTCTCTGACTGGTCGCCTTCACATTTTGGAGGAAGCCGCTGATCTTCTCCAAAACTTGGAGAAATTAGGAACTTCTGACTCCTCTTCGCTGCACAATCTGCCTCCACATCTGAAACTTTCGTGGAATCACAACCGGATGTACATTCACAGGATGACAAATAATGATTTAAATCCTTTGACCATGGTTGTTGATCCTCTCCAGGCTCAGGGGAGTTGCTTGCCCTCTGCCCTCTCTTCATAATTTGATGAAGAAGAAGAAAAAAGAAACAAATACGAATTTGCCTCTTTCTCTTAAATAGGTCAGCTGCACAGCACTGCTCCTCCTTTGGCTTAATCCCAACAGATATATAGAAAGGATTAAAAACAATTAAGGCTATCGAACGACAAAAACGGCAGCAGTGGCAGGAGCTCTGCTGCCATGGCACTTCCTGACAGGGTCTGCTTTGAAAGGCACAGCTTTGACTGTGGCGTCGGACAGCGATAATGCTGTGATGTCATGTGGCCACGTGCAGACGGGCACACACGCACACGCGCACATCCAGAAATCCCGCAGAGCTGTGGGTTCGCGCTCGTTTCGAATGAGCAATGACTTGCCTTGGAGGGAAGTGATGTCACATTGCATGATGTCACACCTAGCTTCAAACTGGGAGTCAGCACGCGGCCTGCATCTGTGCAGGAATGCAGATGGTAAATAAAAAAGAAGAAAAAAAATGACCTAGATGTTCAAAAAGTAGAATGTGTTACACTTCTTTTTTTGTCATTGACTGTATATATTTATTTTATCTATTTTCAATCTTAAATTAAAGTTTAATTTTCCTTTGAAAAGAATATAAACAAAAATAGGTCTAACTATAACACATAAACACTTTTATAAAGATTATTTGAACTTTATCATTTCATCAGTAACATTATTGTTTCATTTAAAATTTAAGTATAATGGTCACTGACTATAATGGTGACCCTGAGTCAAGAGTTGAGGTGAAGATTGGAAAAAGTTGTTTCAATTTATATTTTAAAATTCCCTTCGAATGAAGTCTTAATCCTTAAGCAAAACTGTTAAGCATAATTGTTACCACTGGATAATGCTTAATATTTATGGGTAATTCATTGACAAAAAAACCAACTACTCTGTCATCAACTTCCAGCAGCTGGAAAATCAGTCTTGTGTAATCTGCTACAGCATTCTAGTTTTTTTCATCTCAGGGTTTATTCACCCCAAGTTTGATAAACCCAATCTCTGGAACAGATCCAAAGCATGTCTGGCCATGTGCATGCTGCCTTCTCAGTGAGTACAGTACCATGTCATCGGCTGATGTCATGTCCCTTTGAAAGTATTCAGGCTTCCCATTTATGGCTGTGCTGGGAGATCCAGACCCCACTTCTCCATACAGTCACTGTAAGCTTATGTCATCCGGGGGCAAAAGGACAGTAGCCTGTACTGACTCCTTGCTGGCCGGCCTTATCACACTTAGAAAGACACACATGTTAAAGCTGATAAAGTCTACTTTGTCAATTTTAGTGTGTACAAAGTTGCATGTCTTTTAGGTATGGGAACAGCTAACATTGCCCATACTGATATCACTTTTTTGACTATGACTTTGCAAGTTGGTTGCTATAGACTCCACTCCTTATTAAACTAAATATGTAGAGCTTTCAAGAGCTTACTCACACTCAAGCCAGGGTCATCTGCAGGAGGCCTGGGATCTTAATAGAGACCTCTAGGGTTTCCAGGAACTGCTTTAGCCCCTCTCTCAGTTTTGATGGTCATGACATGTACTTTTCACCAAAGTTTGTGCACATCATTACCACCCCATGGTTTAAACCATGTAAGTTGTACCTGCCTGCATTTTATACACCACCTCCATGTCCAGGGCGGTCTTACAGGACTCTGTGCAAATAATTAAATGCAGTGAAAAGCTTTACATTGATTCAATGTTTAAACGAGTCCTAAAGCCTGAATAATTCACTGTAAATGTAGATTAAATGAGTTTGAATAAGTCAAACCTAAGGGAGATATCAACTCATGGCCTTCCTGCATAAAACTGGTTAGATACTGGTATGAAGGAAATTAGTTGTGACACTCAGAGTAAAATAAAAAAAAAGGTACAAGGTTCAAGCTAACAAAATGTAACTAAAATAAAGTAGAGCAGCAAATCAAGGATTTTGTCAGGTCTGAATTTCTTTTTAAAATGCAATGATTGTGTCTGTTGATGGGAAAATGCTCAATTCTTATCTAAGTCCACAGAAAACCACATCCATGCACAGCCACACTAAGAGTAAACAAGTGAAAAACATGACACATTGTGTTCACTTCATTTGTGTGAACTAGGTCATGTTAAAGTTGCTGGAGCTTATTGGATTAACAAGATTGATCATCAACCAAAATCACAGGTGCTATTGAGATCATCATGCCATAGCAGAGAGACCCAAATATTTGTCACAAAGGAACAGCAATAGATTCCATTTCAAATGTGAGATTCTCACAGAGAAGAGCAAACATTTATGAGCAGAGTGTTACGGTAGATCACGAGAAACGAGACTCGGTAGGATTTAAACAATAAGGGGACAGTCTTTCTGGCACGCCCCTGGTTAAATCTGAGTCTCTGATGTCAGCTCAAGAATGCAGTGGTGGAAGAGGCACGAAAATGCAAGGCACATGGCTTTGACTCTGAAATGTCCCCTGGCAGACGGACGAGCTTGGCTTCGAACCATGCCCACCTCCTTTAAGTACAAGGCTCTGCAGTTTCCTGCAGGCTTCTGGGTTATAGCAACAAGACAATGCTGAAGAAGATATGATGAAATAGTGGCAATTGTAGGCAATATATATAGAGATATATAGTCATTATTGTTATTGTAACTGCCTTATACTATTTTGATAGTATATCAACCATATACCTTGTGCTGTGTCATAGGAAAAATATTACAATGGAAAAGTGAAATGTGGATAGACGTGCTGCCAAAATAAAAAATTCATACAAAACTTTCAGCAGCAAAAAGCAAACAAAGCACAAAGTTATTCCAACCTCTATTTCTGGACTGCATCCATATACATTATTAACAAAAAAAAGTGACCGTAAGACCGAAAAAAACAAGCCATCAGACTTACCCTGCGGTCCTCTGGAGAAATCTCTAATTCATTAGCTTCAGGTGCGCTAAAAGCCCCAGCAGCCGCGCGCTGCGCACGCGCCACGCGAGGGCGCTCTCGGCCCCTCACACTTCTCGGCACGGGAGGCGAGATCAAGCCGGTAGCGGCCTCCGCACCTGTAACGAGACTTCCAATTGGCTGTCGCTGTTCTCGATTATGTCACGCGGCCCGTCATTGGACAGCTTCGAGTGGGCGGCGCTGGGCTCGGCAATTCATTGATATTGCCTACAGCTGGTGGCCACAGATTCGCCACACGGAGTGAAAGGGCTAAGAAAGTGATGAAGGCTGGATGTAGTTGGCTTTAAACAAAAAAAAGGGGGACGAGAATCGTTTCGTTGTTCGGAAGAGTGGCACGCCAAAGATTTTGACAGACGACGACGCCGCCAAAATGCTCTGCCACGTTACTCGTCCGGACTCTGTTGTGATGGAAGTGGAAGTTGACGCGAAGGCGAACGGGGAAGACTGTCTGAACAAGGTGAGCTGCAGATAAAACGGATGCACGCTGTATTTGTTATTATTTTGAGTTGATTTATTTTTTTAAAAACGTGACCACACGCTCGCGACAGCTCCGAGGTTTTCCCTTGAAAACTTTAATCGCGTGAAACTTGATCCTTGATCTCTCTCTCTCTCTCTCGTCTCTTTTGGACTCTATTCCGTGACTGAAACACAAATAAAACTACGACAATGCTAGTTTCTGCAGAGTAGCCGCTGTTTTCTGTGTTGTCTGACCCACGCAAAGCGAGAGTTTCTGTTTTTGGAGCAGCAGAAACAACCAAAAAAACGTGCACCCACTCCACAAAACACGAGGAAACGCGACGTTCTGCGCGCTGCGGACGCCGGAGGAGGAAAATAATCACTTTTAATTCGTGTTTAAATAAAAAATGTGTATTCGAATGTGGGATTTTTACATGTGAAAGTAAGTTTTGAGACATTAAAGAGGGGGTGGGGGGGCGTCTCCTCTACCTGAGGCTGATAAGCCAGAAGAGGCTTACTCCAGAAGGGGTTACTAGAGTTCATTCCGCAGACTCTGCTTGCAGCGCTTTTCAAAGTGGATCCTCTGTGCGATTAAGTTCTCTTCAGAGAGTTTCTTCTTTTCCGGTCAAAGGGGACGTCGAGGCTCATAACTTTGCCACGCCGTGAAAAAGCTCGCGTGAAAAAATAACGCGTGGCTTGCTTAGTATTCACGGCGCAATCCCGAGTCGTTGCGACTCCATAATGAGTTCCATCCGAGTCTCCAGACTCCCCCTATAGATGCTCCCCCAAAGATTATGTAACACCCCCATGTCTGCTGCCGGCAAAGGGGGGGTGGTGGTGAGATGAGCCCCCCATAGACCGGGAGAGGGTCCAAGTTCCCTTCAAAGCGGTAACAATTGCAATGGGAGGGGACTTTGTTTTTAGCTTCAGAATAATGATTTATTCAATCCTCCTTTTGTCCGTTGGAAGTGTCCCTACAGCTACAGGAGGTCCAATCCTGCTTAGTGCTGCTCTGGCACCTTTTGCCGCTCCTGCTTTGGATGCTGGCCTTTTTTGGCTTTGGTGCTCCTCCCCGGAGTTCCTGGTCTAAATCTCTACGTTGGTGACCCCCGTTTCTGTCCCAGGTTTGCAGGAAGTTGGGCGTGATCGAGGCGGACTACTTTGGGCTGCAGTTCACGGGCAGCAAAGGGGAGAACCTGTGGCTGAATCTGAGGAACCGCATCTGCCAGCAGATGGATAACGTCACCCCCTGCCGGCTGAGGCTGCGAGTCAAGTTCTTTGTGGAGCCCCATCTCATTCTGCAGGAACAGACCAGGTAAGAGCCCCTGGTCCCCTGGTCTGCACCGGTCCTGAGAAATGTCTGGTCAGCAAAACAGTCCCTGCTGAAGTCTAACCCGTAAATAAACCGTTTTATTTATTTATTTTTCTAGACAAACTATATTGATCGTGCTCTTCGATACTGTGTGACTAGACATGAAGAGCAGGTACAGGTGGAGAGGAGGATAAAACATTCCAGAAAGGGCTTCTAAGCCTTTTATCTGCTTGCCTGTTTCCAGTGCCGTGGAAAATGCCCTCTAGTAACCTCTCCTCGCAGCTCTTCCGGGGTTACTACAGGTCATTTTGCTGAGCGGCAGGCTGGAAATGTGATCCAGCAGCTCTGGGCCTGTGTGTTTTCTCTCAGCCAAACCCCCCCTCCCCCCCAGAGACCCTCTGTGCTGTGACAGCCAGGACCCTCCTGCCTCAGCTCCCATTCAGCTGAAAATAACTTTTTTTTGTCTCAATTGTTCGCAGCCATTTTTTTTTGTTTTGTTTAGACAAAAGCCTCCCCTTAACTTTTTTTTTTTTTTTTTGCACATGCTCTTGCACATGCTCTGGAAATCAGAGGTTTTCATGACTCTTGTGCTGGTTTGGTGCAATCAGATTTTAAAAGCATAAGTCATACAGCAGTTTAAAAAGGTTACCGCAGTTCTGCCTTGTCCTAGTCATTTCAACAAGACCCTGTGGTGGAACACTGCAACAGATCTAGACAAGTCCAGGTCCTGACTAATCTTCCGTTCCCCCATATCTGACCAGAGCTTGCGCCCGAATAATTCCCCCTGTGGTGGGTGGGTTTACTTCAGACGGGGCCGTGGCTGGGAGCTTGATTCGGGCTACCCCACGTTGCAGGAAGCCGGTGTGGCGTCATCGTAGTATCCAGCGCACGGCTTCCTGCCGCTCACGTGCGCTGCGTCCCCAGAGGCGTTAATCAAGCGCCTGGCCGGGGGGAGGAAAGCTCCCAGCTGTTCCACGCACCGCTCGGGCCCCCAATCGCTCAAAACATGACCTCATCTTCGCCCTCTGCCATCATGGCCGGAGGTCCAAGCGTTTGCTCCGACGTCCAGCTCCCTCAGAGGTAGGAAAGCGAAAGCAAAGCGGGGGGATGGGGGGGAAGAGAGGCCAGAGAAGACGCAGGGCTGCCTGCTCTCTGACCTCCTCTAGATTAGCAGGGGTTATCAGCAGATGGCTGGTGTCAGGTGAGGGGGGGTGGGGGCAGTAGGGCCATCCGTAGGGCTGTAGTAAAACAGGAGCCGGCGTCGAGGCGGCTGCTGGTAATGCTACGTGCTCCACACCACCACACCGGGAAGTTTAACCTATGGTGCAAACTTCACAACATCCCTCCGCACAGACATGATAGGACTGAGGTGGAGAGGAAGCAAATACGCTGCCCCAGGGGAATTCCTACTCCGACTCTGATCGTTTCTTTTTAAGAGTACCACGTTTTTATCGTTTTTACGGAAGTTGATTTATGTTAAAGTTTGCATTTGAAACATTTTTGTTCAGAAGTAAGCATGTAGAATAAGTAGCTGGAGCCCTGAGGAGCTGCTTGGATCTCTTTTCTGTAATTTCTTCTGTGATCTGCTTCTCACCTTTAACCCAGTTCAGCTACAGGTTCCTCATAAGTGTGACTGTCCCAGAGACGGACACGCCCACAGACATAAACCCTACCGTGCTGCACATTAACTTACCTGCAGCAGTTCCCAGTGGCCCTTTTTATTAATTTACAGATTTCATTTCTAGGTATATTCACGCTCGTCAATTAAGACTTCCCGTTTTGTTCCCATCCCCATGTTTGTAGCACGGCAACTCCTGGATAGGCCCGATGATTTTCACCGCCGTGCCCTTCTTTAAGGCTTTATTGCATAACCCGCTGAACCCACAGAGCAGCTTATATAAGACACTGTGTACTCTGCCTCCACGCAAAGCCTCGCAGGTCACTTTGTTGTTCCCGCTCAGTGGCAGCTGGCTCTGTGGATGTGCTCTATTAAATCATGTTCCCTTTTAAGTAAGGATGGCCTGTTCTGGAAAATATGATAATTCAGCTTAAAACACACAATTAAAAAAAGACCCAAAGTACTTTATGATGGAATGTTTAGTGTTTTAATTTGTAATTTCTCTTAATTTATGAGCGTCAACGCATAACTCATAAAACCATTTGGATTTTTTCTTCATTTTTTCCCCCTTTTCTCCTCTCAAACTCGCTACCAAAAGGCAGGCCATATCCATTTGAGCTGTAAGGCGTGTGCTCGGCTCGCATCTGTTCTAGTTGTTTGGCTCTGCTTCTAAAATCCCTTTTTCCTTTAATGTCATTATTTTGAGATTGTGCGTCTCTCTCGCTCTTCCAGCCATGTTTCGTTTGTTGTTTTCCTAGCTAGCTTTGGACACTTCTTGCACATGGGGAGACTTTATCGCCCATAACAGCTTTTGTTTTAGGGGACTGCACAGAACTGGGAAGCAACCTCATTTAGCAACCACCTGAGGCATTGCTCGTCACACCCTCAGGTAGCTGAAGATGGCTTTTTCACAGATTTTTTTTTTTTTTTGTGCCGAACATGAACAAAAGACATTTGTGATTTCTAGGTCTATGATTCTTTTTTTTCCTTGTTTTTTTTAGAGGTCCCCATTACCACCCTGTTTTGTCGGCCATTTTGACTAAATTCATGAATAAGGTGCTCGAAAAACATGTCAGATTTTAGTCAGCCATGTGATTAAATGCAGGCCTGGGGACTTGGCAGACCAAAGTATTTGAGGACTACAGATAATTTATTGTCATTGCTCTCACTGGACAGTGTTTATTCTATTTTATAGAATCCCAATGGCTGGGGAATAGATATACAGCAAATGCTTTTTTTGGAAGCATATTTTTCTTGTGATTATTTTCTGTACAATGTTTTCTTGCCCTCCCCCAGTGCATGGTTAGGTGCATTTCATCCAGTAATAGCAAATTAAATGAAGGGGCAAAAAGTATAGACATAGACATCATTATTAATAACCAGCCTTGTTCACTAGAACAGAGCTCTAAAAAGGGCAATGTAAGAAGAAATGGCCTCACTTGACTGTACTTCATAATTTTTTCAGTTTAGCTTTACGTATTTTTTTTTGTTTTTTTTGCTTCCTCCCTCACTCTTGTCGTAATACTTTCAGGGAAACGGAGATAGCTTTATCTATCGGACAAGATTCCGACTCTGGCTCTTCATCTGAATGTTCCCGCAAAAACAACTCAAGGCCATTTATTCTGGTCACACACAAAATGTCATTTTTAGCTCACTGTGGCAAGACGCAGATGATCAGGGCGAAGATGTCTGAGCATGCCTGCAGCTATCAGAGATGGAAAAAGCTGCTTCTAATCAGGATGCGCTACATTTTTTTTAGTTTCTGTATGTCTACTTGTGTAATCTAGTAACCTAGCATAAGCTTGTTTGTGCCGGGGGTACATTACATTAGCCTTTGTCCATAAATAAGGGTTCCATTTATTCGGCGCCTGAACTTGGGTTTGACACTGGACCGTAATCGCTGTTTTTTTTGTTTTTTTTAACCAGCCAATACGGGGCACCAGAATTTAGCACACAAATGGCCTCTTTGTTTTATCGCCGTGCTGCTTTCAGAACAGCTTGCCACAGTGCACAAGCACATGCGTTATATTTATTGCCTGGAAATAAGGCTTTGTAACTTAGCGTTAAACTGCACAGTTACAAGAGTTTTTTTATTTTTTCCAGTCCGCCCACAACTGAGAGAAGATATCGAGCAAAGGTAACTACAGGTCATTGGCGGCAAGTAACCTCGCCGCACATAGCTTCTGGTGGTGTTATTTGACTTGCTTACAAACCGCATTGAGAGCCTTGCTGATGAGGTCTGAAACCCTGCGTCTGATTGGCTGGATGGGACACAGTCTCCAGGCAGTGGTTTTAAGTTTCAGTTTGTGGGGGTGTTTTTGTTCCACTGAACCGAACAGCATTATGAAGAATCAGATGCTGGTTAAGGTTACAAAACAAGCAGACTTGAGTTTATTTAACACGGTAAAGATTTTAATACAGTGTATAGATTTAAAACTTTAAATGAGTGAACATTAGGGGTGCAGGGGCTTGTGAGCTCACATTTGAGTGGTTCATTTTTAGATCTGTTCTAAGACCACCTCCTTTAGTAGAACTACAAAGGCCCCACGTGAGAATCCTCTTCAAACCTTCAGATGGTCTCATATAAAACACAAGGCGACGTGGTGTAAACAGTGAATGCAGTAAAAGTAGGCCAGGAGACTTTGGTCTTAACAAAGACTTCCTGGCATTCAGTCTGCATGTTGGTGTGCCGGCGCGGGCTGCACACACACACACACACACACACACACACACAGCGGTGCTGTGATGATGGGCTCCGTCTAAAAGTACATTCAACAAGTGTCATGTTGAGAATGGAAATTTTTATTCTGTGTAAAATGTACTTTGTGTTCAAAGAGTATGATGGACTTGGACAGGTGCTGAGGCAGCACTGTGTACCGCTGAACTCCTCTCATACCCGGACAGCTGTCTAAAAAGCTGTGGGCTTGATGTAAATGTAACTGCAGAGAAAAATGGAACTGGTTGAAACGAGGCAGATGAACCACCTGAAATTAAACTCCAGAATGCTGATTGTGAGGGGAGTTTTTGTGTCCTTGCAGGGCTTGTGATTAAAGCATTATTGAGTCACCAGTGTTTTGTTTAGGGAGTTTTTTTTTTTATTTTTTCTAGCTGAGCGTGTGAAGCCATTCTGTGGTGGTGTACCTTTTTTTTTTTTTTTTTTTTTGTTTTTTTTTCTTCCCCCCATCTCATTGCACTGAGCCAGGAACTCCTCTCAGTGGTCTGTAGTTATCTTTCTGAGCCTGTGAATCTGCTGTATGACTCATGCTTCTCTTTTCCTCTCTTTCAAATGCTAGGTGCGCATTTGGCCTGAGCTCAGCAAAGCACGGACACCTGCTTTGCGCGCACACACACACACACACACACACTGGTGCCGGCACAGTTGCGAACAAGCGCGGCGCTTTGGTTAGCAGTCCCTGTTCCAAAGGTTTCATGCACACATTTTATAGATGGACTTTGTCTCAATTTGACCCGTTACTATATCAAATTAACAGGCTGGAACTTGTGCTGAAGGAGGATTTTTTTCCCTTTTTTTTTTTTTTAAAATTTTTTTTTTTTTTTAAGATAAGTTATACAGTGATATCAACCTCTTCAAAACCCCGGCTTGAACTATAATACCCTCTGCGGCTTGGCCGATAGTAACCCCTTGCCAGTAACCTGTAGTAAACTCCCCAGTCAAGTCGGTCCCATTGTTTGCCAGGCAGGTAGCTAACTAGCAGCGCCTCATCACATGACGCCTGCTGGGCCCGACACAATGGGGCCCAGTGTTTTGTGTGTTGGAGGGAATGGGATGTTTAACACCATATCAAAGCCCTGTTTGTTATGCCTGAGGCTGGCCGGCCGCGGGGATCCGTTGTTACAGTCTGGATTTCGCACCGACTGTGTTTGTGTGCTGCTGCTGCTGCTACTTTTTGGAGGCGCTTGCCAGAGTGCGCCGGTCGAGGTGCGCCCGTGTTGTTGCATTCTGTAGAGGCTGAAATACACGTCGGTTGTGCTTGTCACGAGGTGTGGCCTTGTTGTTCATGTAAAGTGAAATCAAAGGAAAGGAAATGGCAAGCCTAACTCGTTTCCCATCAGACTCTCCAACTCCTAAATGGGATTAATTTTTCTACATTTCACAGGTTTATGTGAAACTCTATTTTAAAACGGCAATGCACGCGGCTTTCCGTTTCCCCCTCAATGTCCTGCTGAAATGTCCTCAAGTCCCGGTTTGACCTGATTTGCACAAATAAAAAAATCTCCTTTAGCGCTGTGCTTCAAATAGAGCTGCAGCCCAAGGGAGATTTCTTTTGAGGAGAAATAACAAGCCGTTTCAGGCGCAGCTTTTCTGTCTGCCACATCAGGATGTGGAAGGCAAAATATATGCTAAGAGCTTTGATTAGTGTTTGAATGCCCAGGGCAATGTGGGGGAAGCAGGAGATTGCTTTTGCTGTTGAAGGAGCAGGTGACTGGTTTATCTTCTCATGGTTACTGGGCCATAGGTCATCTGAAAGAAGGATCTGTTGTGCTACTCGAGTTGAGCGTTCTCCATGATGTAAGGCCTGAGTCGGCTAGGGTGTTTCTTTTATTGACGTATCGTCTCCCGCTGCTGGAAGGAAAGAATTCCTCACATCTCCCGGTCAAAACAATGGAAAGACCCTCATTGGCTTATTTATGTAGAAATTAGCTGCTTTTGTTGGCCAAACCAGAACCTTCTGTTCTCGTTGCGATCACCAAGTCGGAACGACAACAGTTTCTGTTTTCGTCACCATGAATCTGAATGATCAATAATTGCTACACGCTGAAGTGTAGAACTTGGGAAGGGAGTTTGGTTGTAACTTGGCTATTCTTTGTTTGTTTTTTTGTTTTTTTTTATCAAAAAAATATTCAAAATTTTATTCATGTTTTTATTCACGTGACAAGGTCAAGTACAAACAATGAAAATATTTGTACTTGGCTATTCTTAATCTTCAAAATGACAGAAGGATCGCAAGCCACAATTGTTTGGTTTCCACTGCCAACCGATATGTTAAAATGGCCAGTTGTCAGTGGGACTTGAATGTCAACAGCATACTTTGTCAAATAAACCACATAACGGACACCCTCTCCAAATTTCCAATTTATCATGTTGCATCTCTGTTCTTTCGTACCTACCCAACTTCCACATCTTTTGGTGAAATTACTCTCAAAGGAAGTATTTTAAGGAACTGATTTAATGTGTTGAAAGTGACTGTGTAGTAGACATTTTCACTACTTCTGCTAAACACACACACCTACTCCAGAGGACAGTGGTGCATTATAGAGAGTCAAGACCTCTGAACCATTACACCATATTTCTGACTAATTGTAGAGAGAATTTTCTAAAACATATTGGCTGAAACACTCCACTCCTCTGAGAGAAAATTCTGTTTTTAAAAGTTTTGTTTCTTTTGATCCGCAGACACCTTTTCTTCATGCACGTCAAGGAGGACCTCCACAACGGTCACCTGCGCATGGCCTCGGAACAGGCGGAGGAGCTGAGTGCTCTCCTGGCCCAGGCAGAGTTTGGCGACTACAACCAAAACACAGCTCAGTACTGGTACTCGGACCTGTGTGGAGAGGAGCCCAGCACTGCCACCGTCAACAGGTACAACACACCCCAAGCAACCTTAAACAGCCTTCAAGTGTGCGTGTAGTTATTTTGGTTCTGAGGTGGTCGGCCCACAACACTCGGAATCTGAATGTCTCCTGAACTTGGACTCCAGCACGGACACAGATTCTGTGACCTTTCCTTTGTCAGCCCTCCTCAAGCTCTGCCCCCTCACTGTTTCTGGCAGAAGTCCACTCCGAAAGGTCAAACAGGAAAAGTAAACAGCAGAGCACTACAAACCGCCAAAGGATGGCATTGCGTTGTAGCTGGGAAGGAGTCAAAAACGTTTACAAATCAAAGAACGTAACACGACGAGTTGAACTCGCTCTGTGTTTGTAGGCTGAATGAAAGCCACAGCAAACATACAGATAGCCCAACAAAGCAGCTGACTGCAGATCAAATAGTGCCTGTTTGCTGTCTGTCCTCCTCTGTGGGCACAGCATGAATGACATGTTCAGGTTTCTACAACAGGACCCCCATACCTGATGGTACAAAGTACTGGCTCCCCTACTTAGAGCTGCTGGGAGTTTATCCAGATTGTAGTGTTTCCATGTGGTACCTGAAATACTTGGACAGTGTACAGCTCCAGTTTCATCTGCTGAACCTCCTCCTGTGTTTGGCTCCTCTTCCAGGGCCCACATTAAGCCAGCAGACTTGTGGAAGTGCAAAAATGATTAATGTTTTTGCAACATTTCTTTAGCTTTAAAGTGTCGAACACATGTTGGATATTTCATGATTTCCTACCACCGTCTGCCGGATTCAGTTGGATCCCTAAACTAAAGAAAGCCTCTTGTGCTAACTAAACGTAGCTCTCGGATGCTTGGGTTTTGTGTCATTTGCGTGTCAGTGTTGTTCACTAAACTAAGACTACTTTTCCCCCTGTTTGCAGCATCATATCCAGACACAAAGCTTTGGAGGGCTTGAGCCAGGGCTCTGTGGAGTATCAGGCCCTGCAGCTGGTCTCTTCTCTGGAGCACTACGGCGTGGAGTGGCACTGGGCTCGAGACGCAAACGCACAGCGGCTGGCTATCGGCGTGGGCCCCGAGGGGATTACAATTTGCAAGGAGGACTTCAGTGTCGTCAACCGGTATGTTCAACTCGGATGTCGTGGATATGAATCGTATACCGGTCCTTTATCGGCTGCAGTGGGTCCTGAGGATTTTCTTTCTTGTTTCAGGATAAGCTATCCGATCATTCAGATTGCCACTCAGTCGGGGAAGAGCGTCTACCTTACTGTTACCAAGGACACCAATGACAGCGTGGTGCTGTTGTTCAAGCTGATCAGTAACCGGGCGGCGAGCGGTCTGTACCGGGCCATCACGGAGACGCATGCCTTCTACAGGTGAGCTGAAGGCCTCTTCAGCCCGGACCTGCCAGCCACAGGCTCCGCCCCCGGCTGTTAGCCATTCGCTCGTAAAGCTGTGTTGCTGACCCGAGACCAGTGCGGTGGAAAACCGGCTCTAAAACGTGTCCTGTAAAAACTTGCTCTGCTCTGTTTACTGATGCATGAGACCGCATACTAAACACTAACTTAATGATGTTTTGTTCAGTGTTCATTAACCGGTTTCTGGTATAAACATTGTTTATAAAGTAGGACACAGTCACCGAAAGCGTGTCTTAGACCAGAGCGAGTGGTAAAAACACCCTTTATTATCAGGTTTAAAAACTTCTTTTTTTTCTGTAAATGAGCTGTATGGGCACTTAAACGGTCCCTGCTCACAGCACATTTTCTGTCACAGTAGCACAAAAGAGACCTGGGCTTTTGTTCTGTGCACAGGTGCTTTCGTTTATTTAAAAGAAGAAAAAAATATGCCTCTTTGCTTGGAGGCAAGTCTTTGTTTCTACAGTAGTAAACATGGCACCAAACAGGATGGCCCAAGGCTTTTTTTTCTGTTTTTTCTTAGTTTGTAAATCCACACTGGTGGGGTTTGGATGGCAGTACTATGAACTGGCTTGTATTTAGAACTCTGAGATTACATTTGCTGGGGTTTTTGGTACAATTTAAAAGAGTGGGATTGAACATCTGCACGGCTATAACGGATTTTTCATTGTCTCGTTTCCAGGTGCGACACGGTTACCAATGCAGTGATGATGCAGTACAGCAGAGACTTTAAGGGCCACCTGGCCTCACTATTCCTCAACGAAAACATCAACGTCGGCAAGAAGTACGTCTTCGACATCCGCCGCACCTCCAAGGAGGTGTACGACCACGCCCGCCGCGCGCTCTTCAACTCCGGCGTGGTGGACCTGGTGTCGCGCTCCGACAGCGGCGAGCGCTCCCCCCCCTCCCGCTCCCCGGGCAGGGACCACCACCACCACCCGCAGGAGGAGGAGGACCCGGGGCTGGACTGCGGCAGCTGCCAGCAGAGCCGCGCGCTGCAGGAGCGGCTGCAGAAGCTCCGCGAGGCGCTGCTGTGCATGCTCTGCTGCGAGGAGGAGATCGACGCGGCCTTCTGCCCCTGCGGCCACATGGTCTGCTGCCAGACCTGCGCCAACCAGCTGCAGGTGAGGCTGCGCTGAAGCCCGGTGAAAAGGAGGTCTAAGCCTTTTCTGAAAATGTCTGCCCCTTTGGTCGGATTCAACTCCCCACAGGTGAAGGCTGTTTGCTACAAACGTAAAAGATTGGTTGTAATTTGATTGGATCAGTTCTCATACTGCCTCGAGTTTTACATTGCGCTAAGAAAAGTTCTGCTTATACTTTAGTTCCATCTTATCCTTTTTATGGCCTCTCAAACATCCAAAGCCTGGCTTAGTCTCCACTGACCTGATTGTCTCTCCGGCTAATCGGCTAAGTGTTACCGGTCTTTGTAGAAGCCGAGTGCAGCTGGGAATATTTCTTCTACAGTAATGGCAGCAGCCACGCAAATCTCCCGTTCATTACCCTTTCTCGAAAATGCGACCCAGCTTACAGACTTGTGAAAGAATCCCGTTTGAAATTATGTTGCAGCAAGCCGTTTTTATATCTGAGATATTTCTGTGTCCACCTCTGTTATCAGACACCTGAGCGATGGCTGCTGAACTAGTTGCCTGCTTTAACTGGCTTTTATAGATGGCTGTTATATTCTCTGAGGTCATGGGAATCATAAAAGTTCCATCAGTGCTTCTAAACTGCAGACCTAGTTGTCACAGTACAAAGCGTTTGCATTTGATTACAGCATGGGGTTTGTTTTTAATTTTTAAGGATATGAGAAGGGGGGGGATAAAGTGAGAAAAACGCTGGTTGTTTTTCTTTCGAGTATTGACCCGTTTCTGTCGTCTCCCTCAGTTGTGTCCCGTGTGTCGGTCAGAGGTGGAGCACGTGCAGCACGTCTACCTGCCCACCTGCACCAGCCTGCTGAGCCTCACGCTCACCGACAATCACCAGCACCGCAGCAGCGCCCCCGCCCCCATCCACAGAGACATGGCTTCCTCCCTGCACACATGCTCCACCACCGAGTACGAACACAAGCTCTACCACACGTAGCCGCCCCGAAACTCCACCGCCAATCCTTTGAAGCTACGCCAGCCAGATGTCACAAACAAGGAACATCTCTCACCTTTTTTTCTTTCTTCATTTTTCTTCCTGGAAGTCACAAAAATGTGTAAAGACTCCTGATTGTGATCTAGGATCCCAACTACTGTCAGCTCTGTTTTTCTTTTTATTTCCCTTCGGACCGCCAGTTTGTCCACCGTGTTTGTTTTACTGTTTCCTTTGATTTTTATGTCCCCCTACTTGTTTTAAACACCATTTCTCCTCTACTACAGCATGATTGTCTACTTTGAGATTATTGCTTAAATTATTGCATCAGTTGACCTGATAGTGAATTATGCTTTTGAGTTTGTTTTTTCTGGTGGTTTACTCCATAGTTATTTGCTCTGTGTGAAGCTCCTAGCCCCAGAACCCACCCAATATGATGAACATGTTTTTAATTTAGTTTGCAGTTTGTTTGTTTGTTTTTTTTCTTTACTGAAGGTTCTTTACATTTTAAACTTGATTGTAATGTTATAACAGAGTGAAAAGCTTTTTTTTTTCACTAATGCATTTTATATTACTCTACCAATGAGGAAGGTATTTGCGGCTAAAGATTACTGCTAATCACAGCACTACATAGTAATTGGATACAAATGGCCGTCAAGGTCTTGTTCTTGTGGTCAAACTGAGGTTTTAAGGATCCAAGGCATCTGTATTATACTGGCACTCCCTAAACCACATTAACTCCAAAACCGGTCTTGATAATGGTTTGATTTAAAACCTTGTTAAACAATTATTTCATAGACTACTCCATCTTTACACGTTTATCTCCATTTCAACTGAATATTGACTAGCTGTTTTGGTAGGCACACAACTGCAGCCGCTTCCTCTGGAAAAAAAAACCACAGCTCTAAAGTTTCTTCTCTGGGGTGTTCAAATACGTTTTTTGACATTTTAAAGGGTACTTGGAGATCTGTAAGTGCAATACTTGCTTGCCAAGCTTTTCATTTGACATTTTTATGTAATTATTTAAAGGGGTAGGGGGGGACATTGCCACTTTAGTAAGGAAGTTTTCCACGTGTCTGTAGGGAGTTTGGCCTTAATGTAGCAGCATCTTGTTTATTATTATAAACTCTCCTCAGACATTTTTTGTCTAAGTAAAGGAAAACGGTTTCTTTAATGCTGACACAGTTGAGCTCAGTCACTGCAGGGGAAGGACTTTTTTTTTTTTTTCTTGTCAAGTAGCAACTTGTTTCTGTTTTCTGAAGCAAATGCCACAATGCTCTGTAAAGTAACTCTTAAATGAAAGCTGTTTTATATACTCTGCTTTTAACAAAAGTATTAATAAAGTTGTGGTCTTTTTTTAAAAAAATGAAGAAAACGCCTTCACTTTGTCTGAAAACACTCTCACCATATGAGAAAACCCCCATGAAGCCAGGACTCACAGCGCATCTTTGGGAGAAACGTGTTTTTGTAAATGCCAGGCTAAAGGAACACGTGGGGCTCGGCTCCATGCTGCTGTCTCATCAAAATAAGTTTGCTCACCATGTGACGCATGCTTTGATTATTGGACACATTTCCTGTCTGAGTAAAAAAACTTTGTACATAGAGGTGAAAAGTTGCTGAAATGATTATTAATCATGTCGGTTCAGCTGCTGAACTGAGAGCATCGTCTGCGTGAAACGGGCTCAAGTCTGAAGCCGTGACACTCGGACAAGTTTTTCTCTCTGTTTTTGCAAGAAATTAATGTACTGAGATGATAAAAGTAATGCTAGTCTTGGTTTTAACACCTGTATCTGCACGCCATAGCGCCCATGACTAATGCATACCTCTTCTCGACACCCTGTGTGTATTTCACACCGAAAGGTCAACCTGTCATTTGCCACTGCAGGCTTTGGGTGGGGGGGGACTAAAAGTAGCAGTTTGTGGTACAAAGAAGCTCTGTATTGACTAGAAATGACAGGCATTGCTGAACTGTGGTTCTGGAAGTCATTCTCGAGTTAAGTATAGAGGCTATTGATTGGTCTGACTTTTCACTCTTGTGAACCCCCTTCATGGTCCCCGACCTTGCAGATGAGAAAGCATCTCGTTCTGTCCCTTACCCTTTCTTCTCTTATCTGTTTTCGCTTTCAGGCCTCACTCCCATTAAACTAACTCCAAGGGCGCTGATGACAGCTGAGAGGGAGAGATTCAGCCTCCTGATTTCTCATCTGTCAGACATGTAGAACTGCCTTAACTCCAGTATCTTTGCAGGCTAAAAGACAAAAAAACACTAAGTAGCAGCTTGGTGGAAGATGCATTTTCCAAAGAGACATTACCCCCTTGAATAAAACGTCAGAAGTGACCATGTTTGTCCTGTATAGCTCATCCAAATAGATGAAATGACTAATATCCTAATCATTCAGTTATCCAATCAGACTTCTGACATGAAATGGCTTCTGGCATTTTGGTAATGTCTAGTCCACCGAACTAATTTATTTTGGGAGCACGACCCACACAACTAAGAAATAGATGTCAAGCTTTTGTGTAAGTTTTTTTGTGTATGTTTTTTAAACCGAAAGCTCAGTTGAGCTGGAGGCAGTAAACCCACCGTAACAGGGTACTGAAACACAGGAGTTGGTTTCAATCTAATGGGGGAAGGAGAATGTAGCAAAGATGTGGACAACGCTTCTTGGGAAAAAGAAAATTCCTCCTATGCATGTTTAATTCATTGAAAAAGAGACGTTGACGTGGAAACATACCAGATCTATATTTAACATTTTGCATGTTTGATGGCCTTTCCTGTATTTCCTCTGGCTCAACCCTCAGGGAAAATGTTTCTGCCTTCGTATAGAACTTTACTTTCAATTTCAGGTTCAAATTTAATGTCCTGTTAAGTAATGCTTCATGTTCCAAAAATTTAAAGACCACGGTGGTTCAAATGGGATCCTGTTTATGACTAAAACAATACAGCTTGGGGTAACGAAAATATATAGCTCGACAAACAATATCATGCTGTATTTTTGAAGGACTGATAAGAGAAGTAATGTGGGAACCAAAATAGACCTTTATATGCTTTTTTATGCCCAAAATACCTGCTGCAAAGCTGGAGATGCACGTCCTTTTGCAGATGCGAAAATTCTAGTTTATCACTTGCCACACAAACCTGTTCATCTTCCCCTGATGGAGAAAAACTCATTCTCGTCCTCATTACCTGCGCCACTTCCACAGAAAGCCAATCAATTTTTTAATTTTCCACCATCTCAACTCATGCCAAGAAAAAAGAAACATCAAAGATGCTCGTATATTCTCACCCTCACACTGCTGTGTGCTTTTCCCATCTGCTTGGCCCAGAGACATACAGCTAAGGGAAACACAAATGTGTCTGAGATAAGAGTCTTTGGGCAAAGAGACGCCTCTTTTCCGCCGTATCGTCAGCTGGTAACTGAATACGGGGTCACTGGTCCCGTCTGTTAGTACTAATGCGCGCGTGCGATCGCATCTGTGTCCTCTCAGAAGTTGACAGTACCAAAAGCGTGCCGAGCCAAGTCACACAATGTTCGACATGTCGAAAATTTGAATTATTTGCGCGTCCACTCTTAGGTTAAGTGTGGCCTCACGTTCTCCATGTCCATGCTATTTTAAGAGGTGACTGTGATGATTTAATGGACATGTCAGAGTAAAACTGGTACTGCTATGGTTTACATTGTCACACTGATAATAGTGTTCAGTCTAAAAATACATTATAGATATTTACCCCATCGAAGAATGCAGACGTGTAAATAAAATTCAATTCAATTCAATTTTATTTATATAGCGCCACATCACAACAACAGTTGTCTCACAGCGCTTTCCAAACAGAGCAGGTCAGACCCTACTCTGAAGTTAATTACAGAAACCCAACAATTCCCACCATGAGCAAGCACTAGGCGACACAAGCAAGGAAAAACTTCCAGGAAATATATTTGTTTTTGAATAAGAAGTCATATGCTTTAGTCATTCCTTGTTACCCATTCACTGCTGCCAAAGGGAAAAAAAAGTTTAGCCACATAATGAAAAAGGAACAAAGCTGATTTTTGCAAAGGTGGCATGAACTTAAGTTTATTTAAAAAGCGCTACATGCAATACAGTGTGGGTGACCCGGTTTATGCAGGCTGTAAAACCAGTGTGTACGTGGGCCGTGGAGCTACCTGTTGCACTTTGACCTCCTTCCCACATCAGCCGAACACCTGGGACACAGCTGCGACTGCCATAGACTGACACAGGAGACACGGAGTACATCACTGAGCCAAGCTGTTCTCTTCTTATCAGTTCTGCAGGCAGAGAGGGTTTCTAATGGCTGACCTCTTTCAGCACATCTTATCAGTACAGTATAGAGCGAACAAGCACAGGGGGGTTGAAGAGCATCGGGTTTATTAACTCTGGAACGGCCTTATCTAAAATTGTAAATCCTCCCAATCTAATCAGTTCCACCGAGATGACGGAAGATAAGATGTCTGTGTATTCAGATTAAGTCATAATTTTAACAAGATTTGATTTTCTGGGGGCTTATAGTGCTTAAACTGAAATAATTGAACCTTTTTTTCTGTCATTATATGAAACGTTGTATAGATTTCATATAAATATATCTAACTGCTTAACAATGCTTTAGACTAAACAGTTCTGATCAGTGAACAATATTTTTTGCTGTTCTTGAAAAACAACTTTTGGTACAGGATGTAGGACTGTGGGGGACAAAAAAAAGTGTCATTTCATGGTTTAAAGATTGACAGCTTCCTGTGTTGAATGAATACAAATGAGCTAAACAAAGAGACAGTATGAATCTACCGTGAAGACACTGGCAAAGAGAAGCGGAAAATAACATATAACAGAGTGAGGAACAAAGTATTACTCTCATTCTAACCATTTCCATTTTGTAGGGAGAGATAGGGGAGAAGTGTAATACTTTAAAACTGTGTCTTTATGTAGCTGTGTGTTGGCTTTCTCCAGCCAATCGAAAAAACATGCATGTTAGCTCAATGGTAATGTCAATGTTTTAGGAGAGAATGTGAGAGTGTGTGGCCCCCTGATTAGCTGTTGACCAGTCCAGGGTGTCCACCACCCTTCTAACCCACTGATACTGATCCTGATCTGGAAAAAGCAGGTTCAGAAAATGAGTGGATGGATTACTCAGTACATGTAGCTCTGGAGTGTTTCTTCTGCTCCTTGTTCAGCAACTGTTTCCTTTGACTGTCAGGACATCTAGTGATGTGATGTAGAACTGTGAATTTGGGACTGTGGGGTTAACCACCAGTCTTTATTAGGCTTTTTTACATTTTAATATCCGTATGCATTGCAGGTACTAATGTCATCGTCATAGGAGGTGGAGTGTAGTCCTTCATGTTTATCACCCCCTTTATGTATGGATTGAATTCCGATTATAAAGTTTGAACTGACAGTTGTGGAGGTAGAATCAGTTACTGTTCACTGGAGTTTCCTGGGTTTTTCAGACTTTCATTGTGTCCAAACCAATGGCGCCTCAGAGCTAAATGGATGCGGCGTTTGTTTCTGATCTCGTTCCTTTCATACAGAAATTTCTCTGAATTATTTGAACCTAATGGAATCGACTAATTTCAATTAGACTGTGCTCCTTTTTGCTCTTTTATAAAAGTCTTTAGCTAACTTTGGTAAGCTTTATGTGTCCAAACTTTTTACTAGTACTGTAGAGTAGGACAAAAACGGCAAGCTTCTCTTTCTTTTTTCTTTTTTTAAGGAACAATTAATGCCTTTTCCATTCTTGTTTTCTTGTTTTCTTGTCATCTAGTCATCTTTTCTTGTCGTTTTCTTGTACTCTCTCAGTTTGTCTTCCTGAGTTTGCAAATGATCCTTTTTATTTTCTCCCTTTTTTTTGTCCCTATTGGTCTTTTCCCCCCGTCGTGCTCCATCTCAGAAGGAAGCAATGCCCCGACTGGACAGCAGGTGTGCTCTGTAGCACTGCAGCACACCGTCCACCGCAGTGCCACTGGGTCTGTGTGTGTGTGTGTGTGTGTGTGTGTGTGTGAGTGTTTACATGCGTCAGCAGATGGGGACAGCTGGGCCGGCTGCTGCTGCCACTCTGCCGGAGGAGAGAGGGGAGAGAGCTGAGGCTGGAGGTGAGGAGGGAGACAGAGAGGAGTGGGAGAGAGAGAGAGAGAAAAGGCCCAGGCCCAAATAAAGCCATGGGGGCCAGGACTGGGCCGGACCCCCCTCTGCTATAAATACGCTGGCCGCCTGCAGGTTCGGGTTTGGTGGCTGGGGCTTGGGGCCGGCGATCACCACTGCTGCTGCTGCTGCGCTCTTCCTCAGGGGAGTCTCCTCGGCACGCTCCTCTTCCTCATCCTCATCCTGGTCGTCGGTGATCTGGGCATCCAAGATGCCTCGGGTGGACGCCGACGTCAAGCTGGACTTCAAAGATGTCCTTTTCAGACCCAAGAGGAGCAGCCTGAAGAGCCGCTCAGAGGTGGGTGCCGTTAATTACTGGGGTTTGATGATGTCAGCCTCAGGAGGAGAGCGTTCACTCACAGGCCTCTATGATTCTGGTACTTATTCACGTGTGCTGTCCAAGGCAGTATTTTAAGATCCTCCGAACTCTTAACATCATAATTAAAGCCAAATGAGAGGCAATTTCCTGTGCAATGACGTTCTTTACCCTTTACAAAAAGCAGGCCCGCCGAATCTGAGCTGAGAGCTGTGAACACTCAGCCTAATTGCATGGATGTGACTCTATTCACTGGCTTGTTTTCGGTCAGTTATCAGGCGTACGCGGCCTTTGTTGTGCGGCCAGCACTGGAGTGACCTTCTTAAAGGTGACAGCAAAAAAAAAAAACCTGCCTGACTGAAGCTAACATAAACTAACTCACAACTGAAGGATAGAAACTAAATGGGTCAAAGGTAAAGAGGACGATTTGATAGATTCTCATTAAACTTGATTTTGTGTTTGGATTGTTTAAGTTTGTCGGACGGATCATTATGTCTCTGTCAACCAGTTTGACCGTCAGGGACTAAACGCTATCATGTTTATACCCAACATCCTCGGCCTAACCACGCGTAACTACATCTTATACTGCGACTAGATTCGAGTGTGAAGTGGAGAGTGGAAGTGGGTGGGATTTGGAGAGGTTGCGAGCAACATGAGGCGGAGGAGACTTCTCAGAAACGCTATTTAAAAATAGGACTGGCAAGCTAGAGCACATTCCGTATAGCACATAGATATGAGTGTACTGTACCATAACATGTTTACACAGACAGGTGACAAAACCCTCAGCTTCTATTCAACAGGGGCCATTTGCCCTGAGTAATTTGGGTCCGTCAGGAGGAAGAGGTCACAGCTACCAGAACAAGCTGTCCTAAGGCATTGCCTTTGTCGTATGATGAAGCTTTTCTGCCCTGATTGGAGGGGTCTTGACGACACCCTCATCAATAGGGAATGAGGGAATGACGTGCAAGATGGCCATCATCAAAACCATTTTCAATAAAAACACTGAATGAGTGAATATCTGTGTTACAACTCTGGTGCATTTCCATTTAGACGCCACAAAGCTGGATCAAGTGATAATAATCTATTCTTACACTGGGTAGAATCCACAAAGCTGGTGCTATCATGAACAACTGCATATATTTTTCTAAATATACATTGTTTAGAATCTTTTAAATGCTGAGTTGTAAATCTATAAAAGCTAGGACAGATGCTTTGGGAGTGCTGCTGTTAACCCATAAGAGAGATTTATTGGTGCATTTTTTCATGGGAAATGTCCCCCGCTGACAAAAGTACACTACTCAGATCATCTTCCTTTTATTCCAGATGGTTTTACAGCTTAAGGCCCAAATGCAGTTTAAACTGGAATCCATATGTCATGTTTTATTGTTTCGTTTTTACTGGTGACGAGACACAAAAGGCAATTTTTGTGTTTGCTGCTGAAGTCTTTGCTGGGATGACTTACAGACCAAGTGTAACTGGGACTTTGGAAATGTTAATGTGTGTTAACACACTTCTATAGCTGTAGAAACACACAATTTTTTTTAATTAATTTGCCACTGTTAAATGAGTTGTACTAAAACTTTCTACAACTGTGTCAAAAGTAGAAAGATGCTGCTCAGATACCTGATCCAGTCTGCTAACTAAAGGTAATGCTGCATCAGTTAAAGTGAGAGGCAGCAAAAACTGAAGCATTAAATTAACCAGAGATTGTATTTCTTGCTTGTGTGTACTAACACTTTATTGTCAATGGTGCACTTGCTGTGTTACGCTGAGCTCTGCTTGTTTTGTGTAGCATATCCCATTACAGGCAGCAGCCCCAGAAGCTAACCATTTGATCTAAATGATTCAGTGTATCCCCATGAAGACCACACAGACAAAGAACACCAGCCACGTGAGCTGCAACGAGAATTTGCAGTGTCCTTCGGGCTCCCTTTACCGCACAATGAATCTCTTGTTCACCCACCAGGTGGATCTTCAGAGGACCTTTACATTCCGCAACTCAAAACAGACCTACACTGGCATCCCCATCATTGCTGCCAACATGGACACCACAGGAACGTTTGAGATGGCCGCGGTTCTTAGTAAAGTATGTGACAAAAACCCTCCCAAAAAATGCCATTTCAAATTTATGATCTATTTTATTTTTATTATAAGTTTAGTTATTTATGAGGAGACACAGACAGCTTCCAGTGGCTTGGTTCAAAAAGCAGAAACGAATCTGGGGGACAGTAAATCTCAATAAATAAATAGAATAAAACATACTGTATATATACATTTATTTTCATTGCCTTTGTCTGTTTTTAGCACACCCTCTTCACAGCCATTCATAAACACTACTCTGTCGAAGACTGGAAAAACTTTGCTGCCAGTCATCCAGAATGCGTGGAGGTAAGATGTCCGCTGTTTGTTTTTCTCAGTTTGTTGTTCTTTCTCAGCAACAAGCACAAATACGCACATTTCCCGTGCCTGAACGGAGCTGTCCCTGTTCCCCGCCAGCATGTGGCTGCCAGCTCAGGGAGCAGCAACGCAGATCTGGAGAAGCTGTGCGCCATCCTGGAGGCCGTCCCCGCTCTGAAATACATCTGTCTGGACGTGGCCAACGGCTACTCCGAGTACTTTGTGGAGTTTGTCAAGACAGTGAGGCAGAAGTTTCCAAAACACACCATCATGGTGAGAAAGCCAATTCAGTCTAATGTAATCTGTAGTTTGGATGAAGGGCTGTTTGTAGGATAAGGAGTATCCTGGACAGTCCATTCAGGTCTGTTTTGTCTGCGTTGCAGGCTGGAAACGTGGTGACCGGGGAGATGGTGGAGGAGCTCATTCTCACCGGTGCCGACATCATCAAAGTGGGCATTGGACCAGGTGGGTGGGTTCGACTGTCTGAGTGTGTCTGGAGAAGCTGAATCAACAAAGAGAAGTACTTAAGTGCCCATAAGATGGAGAGGGGAAAAAAAAGGTTCCTATCTGATAGATAAATTTTCTGCTTCTGTACAATATAAAGAGCACTTTTGCATTATTCACTGATTTCATGCTTTTTGAAATATTTCACTTACAGCCCACACATAACTGTACAGGACATGGAATATTTCTATTTATCTATTCTTTTATGTGAATTACATTTTTTTAAAACTTTGCTCTATAGCAACATGTTATATCCTGCAGAGTGTTAAATATGACTGTTTCCTACCTGTAGAGTCGAAATCCTTCCTGCCTGTGGTCATCAAGCTGTTAACTTAATTATTGACATTATCTATTTAGACCTATATATATACACATATAGTTATTTATGTATATTTATGTATATATTTATTTAAATTCTATGTGGAATTGTGTGTGTGTATATATATATATATATATATATATATATACACACATGTATAGACATGTACAGTGGGGGAAATAAGTATTTGACCCCTTGCAGGTTTGCCCGCTTACAAAGGTTTTCCCACTTACAAAGAATGCAACAATCTATAACTTTAATCATATGTACGTTCTAACAGTGAAAGACAGAATCCCAAAGAAAATTCCAGAAAATCACATCATATGAATTTGTAAAAATAGATAACCATCTGATGAGGAAAAATAAGCATTCTTTGTAAGTGGGCAAACCTGCAAAATCAGCAAGGGGTCAAATACTTATTTCCCCCACTGTATATATGTATATGCCGTTGTTTTATCTATGGAGCTAGTGACAAAAATAATTTCCCTCTGGGATTATTAAAGTATTTCTGATTCTGATTCTGACACAACTCAAAACAACACTTTACAGTACAGACTGGCGTGATAACTCAAACTACTCTGACTGTTAACTGCACGTTGCAGGTTCTGTGTGCACGACCAGGATCAAAACAGGAGTCGGTTACCCACAACTCAGTGCTGTAATCGAGTGTGCCGACTCTGCCCACGGACTCAAAGGACACATCATCTCTGTACGGTCACATTCCAGTACAACTGCCTCCTAATTAATAGGACATGAAAGACAGTCATCTGTGGTTAGAACATTGGGTAAAAGCATGGTGATTTTTTTACAAGCAGTTTTAAGATACAAAAGTAATCCATTTCCAAATAGAGTTCTTAAATTAAAGAGCTTTAAAGACTTGCAGCCAGTAGAGGGCAGCCTCATATTTCTGAGTTTGATGAAACAAACTGTGTGTACCAATAAACACGACATATCCTATGACAAACATTCCCTTTTTTTAGGATGGTGGCTGCAGTTGCCCGGGAGATGTGGCAAAGGCCTTTGGTAAGTAGCACCCCGCTGTTTTAGTCTCATCCCGCCGCTGGGTGGTTTACAAAATTAACTTCTTTTTTTTCCCTGGTGGGTTTGCTTTGCTCCACAGGTGCGGGGGCTGACTTTGTCATGATGGGCGGGATGCTGGCGGGCCACGATCAGTGCACCGGGGAGGTCATCGAGAAGAATGGCAAGAAGTATAAACTCTTCTACGGCATGAGCTCCGACACGGCCATGAAAAAATATGTGGGTGGAGTAGCTGAGTATAGGTGAGTTGGGTCATTTTTACCCCCAATGATTCACCCAATAGTTTTTTATTTGGAAATCCCTTAATTACTATTTCATATTGCACTATTGCTTTGCTTTTAATCCATCTTTTCTGTTGTTTTTCGGTTCGTAGGGCATCTGAGGGGAGGACAGTGGAAGTTCCCTACAGAGGAGATGTGGAACACACCATCCGGGACGTCTTGGGGGGGCTCCGCTCCACCTGCACCTACGTGGGGGCTGCCAAACTCAAAGAGCTGAGCCGCAGAACCACCTTTATCCGTGTCACGCAACAGTCCAGCCACATGTTTACTTAGGAGACGGAGAAACGTTGCCCACACACCAACGCAAACACACTGGTTGGCCGCGTGATGTGTAGCATGCATGTCTATGCAGAGTCCACATGGGAAAATAGTAGGACCCTGTCATATAGGTACACTTCACCTCATTTCTCTCAGGATAGAAGCTGTCAGAAGCCTCAGACAAGCGTCCTTCAACGCGGTGGCAAGTGTGTTTACATGCTAACATACACGGCCATTTTTAGGAATATTCATTTAACTTAGATGGGGAATGTGCAAATGCAAGGCCTCCTTCGTAACCTGCTCGATAAATGCTCGGGATTTAAAAAAAAAAGCCAGATCACAGAGTGTGAATGTGTACAACAATTAAGGTCTTTCAGTGCAATATAGTTGTTGGGGGCATTTCAACATTCACAACATGCCAAGAACACTCGTAGAAATGAGTCTTTGGGGAAATTATGTTACCATGAAGTGCATGAAGAATCTTTTTCTCATCTCCTCGTTGCTTTTCATCCCTGCGTAAAGCTTTTCCAGCATCTGCACTCACATTCCTAAAGACGTAAACCTGCTTATGAGTGACTGCATTTCTTTTCGGATGGAAAACATTTTTCTTATTGGGGATATCAATCTTTACAGCTTCCACTGTGCCTGGCATTTTTCATGAAGTGTGTACAAGATTTGTGCCTTTTATTTGATTGATGGTCGGCACTTTATGAAAAGATCTTGTAGAGGTGGTTATATCAATTAACGAGATCAGAAAAGCTCTACCCCAAGGAAGAAACTGCTCTTAAAAACACAATTTCCATTGTCTATTGTGGCTAAATTGGATCATGAAGGCAAAAACAAACTCAAATAATTATCAGTATGTCATGTCTTTATGACAATAAACTCTAAATCTAACTGTTTTTGGCTCTTTTTTTTTGCATTTTCTCACTAAAAACTGTTGAGTTAAGACTGATTTAGAATTGTACCATCACATAATGTAACGCTGGAAGGTTGTATAAGAATATAAACATCAGTGACACCTGCAAATCATACTTCATATGTAGCAGGGTGTTGTAGGGCTTCATAAACACTAGAGGGAGTTATTAACAGCTAAATCGTAAAAATGTCAATCCAGCAGAGGAAGGACGAATCCATAAAGTATGGGTATGAATGCAATGTTTGCGTTGTGTATTAAGTTTTTGTCGATTTAAGCACATAAATGAAAATGACGACACGTGTCCGTTTACTCCAGATATGTCAAGGTTTCATTTTTCTTTTTCAAAGAGGTGCATTTGTACAGATGTCAAATACATACACCGACTGGGTTTCTCCATGGCTAAGGGAAAGGGGTGGTGAGACACAGGGGGCTTGGTGAGTACAGTATAGTACAAACAAGTTGGCCGGGATCTGGCGTGGCCCACCGCAGGTCAGAGTTGTCCGTGCAGGTCAGTGCTGATGTCCGCTTCTCTGCGACGGCCTCACAGGCCGGCGAGGTTCACATCGAGACAGACTTGTCGCAAGATGGGAGTTCGGAACATGGGGGCGAGCCCAAACCCCTCTGTGGTCAGAGTACAGACGGCCTGACCCCGGCTAAAGTGTCTGTGGCCGTGCACAGAGAGGCTGCCCAGAGACGACCAGTATGCTGAGGAGAAATCCAAGACACCTCCCGCATCATACACAAAATATCATGATAATAATTTATAGTTAACTGTCAATAACGACATTTGTTAATCATCAAATCGACTCATATATCAAATCATACGTCATAACTTTACATATTGTATGACCCATATTAAACAGTCCACTATGTAAATTGATTGGGGTGAAACTAAACTTTTACATGGGCCTCTACATGTTTTTTTTTTTTTCTTTTTTTTTTTTTTTTTTTTTTTTTTCTTTGTTTGTTTTCCAGCGCTATAGAAAATTAAAAGAAAACATAAAAAAAAAAAAAAAAAAACAATTAAAAAAAAAAAAAAAAGAGAAAAAAGTGGAATCCTGATCGAATTCTATTCACTTTTAAAACACAACAAAGTGCCAAGAAACATCCTTTTTTGCAAAAAAAATGAAAGTATAAACATAGAGAAACAAAGAGCATACGTCTTTTTTTCTGATCAAAAAGTCAAAGCTCACACACCAACATTCATTTTATTTGTCAAGTTGTGCAAGAAGCCAATTAAAAAAAGAAAAAAAAAAGACATAAACAGTGTTCCTCCGGTGAGGAAGCTTGTCATATAAACTCAACAAATGACACATTCTTTACATAGTTTTAAGTCCCCTGACAATATACCGAGTGCTACAAGGAGACCGAAAACAGAAAAAGCTCCTGCACCAAAAAAACGTATGCAACCGAAGCAAAGGTTTGCACGCACTGTTTTCACACCACATGACCAAACCAGGCGGTCGTGCGCTTCTGCCGAAATTAGAACTCAAAATTACAGCACAATGACCAGAATAATGGCCGAGCATGGTTGGTGAGGGGGGTGAAAAAAATCCAAACAAACCTTCACTCAACAAAAGTAGGGATGCTTTCCTCGAGGAAGGGTTTTCCTATAGAAAAGAACCAAGGAATCACCTAACGCCTCGGCCCGTTGGACCCAAGAACGTGCCGGGCGCCAAGTGAAATGGAGCACAGACAGATAAAAACACAAGGTTACGGCAAGGCAGTGTGCAAAAACTTGAGCCATCTCTGTTTTTCATCAGTGTTCACCCCCTTTTTTTTCTCATTCTCTGTCTGTTCTGAAAGAATGTTACCCCTAGGACAGGACTCGGTCTGAGACAGAGGGGTTAGACCCAGCCTGTCCTAGGTTTAGAAAGTGCTGAAACATTATCAAGTCTTTTACATCTACTTACATGTGCATCTCTGTTGTTTGTTTTGTTTTTTTGTCTTATTTTTTCCATTTTTCTTTTTTACAAAAAAAGTGGTCCCCACTAGCAATGAGGTTTCTTTTTTCCTGTGGGTATCACCATGAACCGTTGAGGGTCAGGGCTTATGATCTCACAGACAATTAGAGGAGAAAACACTCCGCTACACACACACACACACACACACACGCGTGCCACTTAGTTTAACTCACTCACTCGTGTTTGAGCGCACACACACACACACACACACACACGCGACACATGGTGCAGACACGCTCGAAAAAACTGACAAAGGCCGCGTGGACAGAGGGGAAAGAGTTACCAGGAAACAACTGTTGCTTGTGTTCCTTTTCAAAAAAAGCGCCCGGATCGGGGCTGTACAGATGTGACGCACATCAACAGAACAAATGAACGAAAGGCTTCAACAAGGGGTCAGACACTGGAGTCGGATTATGCTACATACACTTGGCACAGGTGGGGAGGGGAGGGGGGGGGGACAAAATGTAAGTATTGCACATTGTGGTACATTTTAAGGGATAAAAAGGGAAAACTAGGGATCGTCATAAAATAAAAAAAACGACAATAAATCACTGTTTCCGTGTCCTGCATTCAGAATATGTGTGAGTGTTCAACTAAAATGACCGCTACATGCTAATTGACGATAAAACCAAATGGTAGAAGATGACTTTAGAGGGGGAACGGGCAGTCCATTATCAGTCCTGCTCTATATCTAGGGTCAGGCCACACCGAAAGGTAGCTAGCAGTAGTTGAGAGTTGACCGGTGGCTTGGCCTCTGGAAGAGGTGCTCGTGAGGCTGGCTGGCTCTGATCGGGTACCTGAAACGAAGTTAACGAGGTCACTATGGAGTCGTGGCAACGAGGCAGAGCTGGGCCGAGCCAGAACACCCCGCCGGTCACCTAAGGGGTCACCTGACACGGGGCTCTTGACCCCTCGGTCTGACCGCGGCGGTTCCGACCGGCCAGCAGGGACAGAGGAGGTTTCGGGGGTTATGTTTCTGTTACTGCATATATGTGAGACTTCCCTGAAGACTAGCAACTGTTGTTGCGACGGCGATTTGTACAAACTGAAATGGAAAGGGGAGAAGTGTTAGCTAAAGTTTCACTCTTCTTTATAAGCTTCTGAAAAATAGTTTCTGAAATAGACAAAATTGTGTTTTTTCTCTCTATGGGCAGATAGCGAGTTGTTCTGGTTGTAATGCTGGAGGATGATGATTTTTATTACTATTATTATCATTATCGTTATTAAATGTTTATTGCAGAGCGTGTTTACAAGGAAATTGCCTGAATATTGTTGCACTATTGCTTCCTAATGTAGCCAAAGCCGCAACATTATACCTTGGCTTTCGGGTTATCTTTTTTGCATTTTTTGTTTTTTTTTGTTTTACCTGGTTAACAGTAAAGGTTTGAACGGTTTGAGCGGCTGACGGGTTTCTGTCAATGTTGTGGTTCTAATTTTTTTTCTTTGTTTTCAAAGGAGGGGAGGACAACAGAAAATGGACATGTACATACATTTAAAAAAACACAGGCACACACATGCACACGTATAGATAGCAAAACATGCACACTTTTACTGCTGTTACTACTTCTAACGCGCATGTTATTTCCAAATGAAAAGAGGGAAATGAAAAAGCATGACTGTGATGGATCTGAGAACCCTGTTTCATTATAAAAATAAAGCATTTTTTAAAATTTAGTTTAGGGTCCTTTTCACTACCTCTCTGCCCCCCATTTCCAGTCACTCCTCATCCATCTGAGCACACGTCCAAAACTGTAACCCCCTGAAATGTGGTTGCCCCTCATATTTGTTGTGTTTTATTCTCAGTGGGATGAAAATATGACAGATCCATGTCTTTGAGGCAAACAACAAAAGCCATCAAAAACAGCTAAATATGGAGGCTGAGCAGAAACAGACAGTGCTCAACAATCATGGCTGCCAGAAACTATTGTCTCCTTACAAAAAACCTCTGGCCATGCAACCTATACACGCTGATCTCACATTCTTATCTTAGACGCATCCCTTGAGAAACAGTCCCCTTCTCTGATTGAACACGGGACAGATTTAAAAACTGCTTGTTTACTTATTTAGAAAAAATAAAATTGTAATATCTAGACTAATTAGACCAGCAAAGACTCATAATGCATTTCTCACTTCATATTACACCTCCAGCTAGCAAAAAGAACTTTCATATGTATAAAAAAACAACCTTAAAGGACACTCTCGGTTTCGCTGCAATAACAATGAAACCTTCCACCTTACCGGGAAAGTCCATTTGCGGAGGTAACTGCTATAACTGAGCCATGAAAGCCTCAGACTGTCTGATCACAGGCCAGGTTCCCTGACCATGAACCCCTGCCCCTCCACCCTGGACACTCAAACACTAACACAGAGAGAGTCTCCTTGAGTTCATCCTCGATTAAATTCAGTAGGCAGGCACGTCGAAATTCTGCTCTGTAGCTATGCTCGCGTCCGAATAACTTTTTAAAAAAATGTAATTTTACATTTGACTGAGCAGATTTGGAAACATTTTTATCTGAATGTGGCAACTTACAGCTGACTACAACAAAAAAAAAAATCTGGTCTCCTCAAGTGTGTTCTATGGTCAAAGGCTTTTTTCAGGACAGGGCTGTCAAAGATCATGGCTCTGCCTAAATCCATCCTCCTGATGTGCAAATTGCAAGATTCTATTAAGTAAAGACTCCGAGTAAAACCTAATGTACGTTACTTATATATCTGTGTGCGAGCGTATGTGTGTCATTTGTCTTACATACAATGCAGACTTTTAAAACTCCCACCTAGATAAAAACACACCACAGAGTGTACTATCAGCAGTGTTCGATAATCCAAAGTCAGTCCACTTAGCGTCTCTGCTGTAGTGACACCAACATGCATCCAGAATTTGGCGTGTGCGGTCATCTAAATGTGCATCGACAAATACAGTACATGTCAAAGTCGTCGGGTTTAGGGATAATCTGTACTGTTTTGTGTCTGCTTTCGGCATGTGTGTGGGTTTACGGACAAAGAGACACCTGCATCTGTTAACACACGAACGTTACAAACTAATGAAGACCTTCAGATATAAGTGGCGCAGGTTTCCAAGCTCTTAGTATAGTTCCAAACACCTCTGGGGAAATATTTCAAAGCTTTTTTTTCTGTGTTCGTCCTCATGCCAGAGCCCGATCTATTAAAACACATGCAAATACGTCCCCCCCTATGTTTTACAAGACAATCTGATGGCCTCGCATGCCGTTATCATTTCTTTTCAGCATGTTTCTCCCCCCCCTAACCCTGAAATTCTCAAAAACCTGTCACATTCACCGGTTGACTTGTGATTTCCATGGCACTTCTGCTCCCATGTTCCCGAAACAACTCTTTTCACTTTTCTAGAAGCTTCTACTTTCCAAAGTGCTGCTGCAACTTTACACCGCTGTCCAAATACAATTTAAAAAAAAAAAGAAAAGAAAAGCATACAGTACTGTGTAAATAAAGAGACAACAAAAGTCGTTGACTGTATGGTGAGTGTGACCGGTGTGTTAAGTGCTTCGAAACATCCTGACCCTCTCAGAGCTGACATGCAGGATTGTCTTGACCCCTCCAACACAGCATTTCTGCTTAGAAAAAATAAGAAAAAATGATATCAAATTGAAGCTCACCACCTCATTGTGTTTCACTTTAGTAGGTTTTGGGGTTACGGATGCATTAACATTAACCCACCAGGGCTCGACTGAGGACAAAATGACCCCTGATTTAAGTTTATGACAATCATTTCAAGCATGAGATGGGTGATGAGGTTGAGAAATAAAAAATGAAAATGCTACGGATGAAAGTAAAGACTACACTGCCAACAAAGTGAGCAGAGTGAGTGTTGTTCCCTCTCTATTGTGTGGCACACGGGCATTAACTGATGACTTAAGGTCCGGCTCGTTATGATCGTGAACATCGCTTGATGTTCTTCCGCTAAAAACGTGGAGAATTACATATTTTCTCGTCAAACTCCAATTCAACTAAAGCATTAAAATTGCGTGTGTGAGCCGTCCAGCACTATGCCTTTGTGCCACCAATAAACATTTAGCACACTTCACAAACCCCTCACCATAAGTCATCGCGTGAAAATCATCAAACTGCACTGATTGTTCATATGATATTAAATCCATCTATCAAAAAAAAAAAAAAAAAAAAAAAGCGTTATAAACTACATGGACTTAATGTGATACATTGTAGGGTAAGGTTACCTCTACAGTACAGTATTCAAGACAGAAAAAAAAACAGAAAACAAAACCAAGACAAATGAAACATTAACATAGGCATTATTTTTCTGTAGGATCCTTTTTTATGTATATATTTAAAGTCCCAAGTTTTATTAACAGTCCTGCTAGCCTTTACTTGCCGATATTTGACCTCCCCTCGATGCTGACTTTCACCTCGTGAGGGATGAAGGAAGGTTTGGGCAGGGTCAGAGGCGGCTCCTCCTCGGATTTTTCCACTCTTCGGCCCTCGGGGGCGGACCACCTCCTTTTCCTGCCAACCGGCTTACTCGAGATTGCTTCAGTGTTGCTTCCGGCCTGACCTTTAGATCCTCTTTCCCCAAACGCGAGACCCCCGTTTTCCATGCCGCAGCTCCCTCCGCTGCCAGTACCACTTCCACCCCTCTGGCCGATGCCGTTCTCCTGCTCCCTGTGCCTGGAGGTTCCTCCACTGCAGCTCTGGGGCGCGTCTGAGACCGCTCTCGGGGGCTTGAGGTGCCCATGGTTAGGGGCTGGCTCCAGTGATTGAGTCTTTTTCAGAGATCCGTTCCTCAGGTTCTTGAGAGTGAGCGAAATACAAACGTCGCCCACGGAAAGCTTGGAACAAGGCAGCTCCAGGAGCTGTGTGGTCCGGTCGGGACAGCACGAAGACCAGCCTTGGCCAAAGACAAAGAAGGGGTACTCCAACAAGACCTCCACGCTTACCTAGAGAGGAGGGAAAAGGGGATATACAAAGTAATCGGCTTTTTTGTTTGCTCGACATACAAGATTGTGTTGTAAAGGTGCACTTTAAAGAAACGTTTAAAGCAAATATTCCAAGATGGTATCAGGCTGTATGAGAAGTAAGAGAGGCATTTTGTGGTTTGATCTGAAAATAGACAATTAAGGCCACAATATTCGGACATTTTCTGCTAAGGCCTTTTCTTTTCTTTTATATTCTTTTAGTAGTCCCCCAAACTAAATTCATTTGTACATTTGAAACTTTTAAGATTAGCTTATTCCAAAAACATAAAATGATTTCAATAATTCAAATTACTTCAGAAAATTCTATCTAAATCAGCATGTGAACAGACTGTGCCTGAAGAGGGATTAGGGAACTAACGCAGCATCAGGGTCAGTCTATAGTTAAGCAGAAGTTGTCCAAAGATCAGTACACTAAATTACAACATAGCTGAGAAAAAAACAGGCTAAAATGGGAATCTGTTGAGGGGGACTTCAGCATGTTAAGTTTAAATTAATTTTGGTGAATCCTGTAAACCAAGTATTATGACACCAATCGTCATATCCAGATGAACAACCTGATACTCCTACTGTCATCTTGTGACTATTTCCAGCCCTTTTCTTGTTATGATGATAAAGCAGTTAGCAGAATTACATAATGATCCACTGTGTTTGCCAATATTGCACCTCACACATAAATAAATGTATCAAAACTGTAGAATAACTCTTCTGCGTGGATTCAAAGCTGCTATGACATCTGAGGAAAAAAATGTAAGCGTTAAAGAAAGCATTAAAAGAAAGTACGCTTGGAGAGATCCTGTGCCTCTAAAAGATGGTCAACTTTTGGTGGAATCAAAGAGCAGCTGAAGGGATGAAATATGTTCAGTGTGGGTGGATAGTAGCATTGACCGATGAAGTAGATTAACCTTCTTCACTGCACACCCTCAAAGACAGTGAGGAGTGTTTGTGTGAGTGCAAATGGGTCTGGAGAAAAGTGAAGAATACATTTAAACCTGGCATAATTGTTCGAAGTGATTACTGACAGCAGTTTTAGATGCAAGAGGAAGACACAAGTGAGTTTCTCTGCTTATTTGACTAACAAGGACTTATTCATCTTTGAAATAGTGTCGATAGAGGTATGTAATGCATCGTCTTTATACACAAGGCAAATGGAAACTGTTTTGTGTAAGCCTTGGACATTTCAGACCAGTTTTCTCTTCACTATGCAGTGTGTTTATCTTCATACCAAGATTTATTACACAATCTAAAGCTTTCACGAAAAAGGTACAGTATGTGGATGCCAATGAGTCTGGCAAAGGATCAGCCCAAAGTGAGAAAAAAAAATCTGAAAAACCTTACACATGGATAATTCAACCTTTTCAGAGTTTTAGAGATCTAAAAGTGTGCTTGAGATACATACAGGGCATGCCAACTCCTTGTTATCCACAATGGTCAGAAAGAATTATTGTAATAACCATGAAGACCATGAGTTGGCACTAGAAAGACACACAAATCAGACCAACTGTGATTGGTGTTGGGTGTGTTGCTGACTCATCTCCACCTATTTCTCATGTGTGCCACAGTACAAGTACTTCAGGTAAGAGTTCAAATGTACAGCATTACATTTTTGTACATTCAGTACGATGGGTTTGCTTAATAATTAACACCACGTTTTGAGTAGATTCTGAATAAATAAAAACACTGGCTGATTGACACTGGGGAGTTTTGCTTTAGTGCTGAAGAGACGGAGTCTTACGCATCTCATGAACCCATCGGCATGAGTATGCATGTTCATAAACTGGTGTCACAAATCTATTACTTTTTTTGACTGTTTGAAAAAAACCTTGGGTCAAGTGAGGTGTTATGACGTGTCTGTTTTTTCCCCACCTGTGAACGATGCTCACCAACAGAGAACTGAACGATAGCGTAGTTGGGTGAGGCGTGGCTCCCTTCGATGCGCTCCACCGTGGACGAGTCGATCTTCAGCTCGCTGCTGATCTCCGCACTCTGGATGAAGTCTTCCGTCTTGAGGTCCTCCACGCGTTTCAGCTCCCCGTCGGCCAGCTGGATGATGGAGCCCTTGATGAAGTACGGGGGAAGCGAGGGGGGCGCCACCGCGCCGGCCGGGGCCAGCGGAGCGGAGGGCACCACCAGCCCCGGCGGGGCGGGGACGATGGGGAGGTGGAGCTGAGCTTGGACCACTGCGCCCGAAACAGCCTCCTGGAATGAGCCGCTCTGGCTTTCCAAAGTTTCTCCTTTGGGGGCAGTGGCAGCGATGTACGCGTGAGGGAGTGTCGTTGGAAAAGGGGTAGCCTGGCCGGACGATGTGATGTGGGAGGTCACAGGCTCCAAGGCAGGGACTCCACCTCCACTGACAGGGATGATGACTTGTTGGGTGCCTGGAATGAGTAAGTGTTGCTGTAGGCTGGTGTGGTAGCCGCTCCCGCCACCCCCTGCAAACAATCCGATGATGGGCGACTGCGGGTAGATGCTTGCTGAAGAGAGTCCCATGGACAGTGGCTCTGTAACATTGTGTGTGGTCTGGATGACAGTCTGGGGCGAGAGCGTTCTGACGGCGGCTTTCAGGCTGTCTACGCTTAGCGGGGGCGGAAACGTGAAGGAGCAGGTGGTGTCGGACGAGGAGGGGACGCGATTGACGGGCTTTCCCATCATGATGCCACCTTTCTCCAGGTTCGCGTGCGCAGAAGCGGTCAGCTTCTCGGGGCTGGCTCTGGGTGGCGCCAGCTGGTGGTCCCCATGGTTGTTGGGCATTAACATGACAGTTCTAAGCCCTAAGTGATCGTGAGCGGAGTAGTCGGATGGCAGAACTAGCTGACGGGTGTCGTAGGAAGGCAAAGAGGGCGTCGCTTCCCGCGATTTGCTTCCCGCCTTGGAGAGGCCGGACTCTGGGGATGGTCCGAACCGCCGACCCCTCTCCAGTTCCCCGTTGTGGAGCTCTCTGGATCTGGGGCCAGCTTCCTCTTTCCTGATGGCGCCGTCTGTGTATTTCACCATAACCTGGGACATGCCGTGTCCCAGGGTATGGTGGGGATGCATGGACTGGGACGTGAGGTGGGAGCCTCCCTGGTGGTGGGGCGACAGCACGGTCCGTGGAGACGTCGACATGTGAACGTGGTGAGGCAAGGGATCCGTAGACGGCGGAGGCATGGAGGTACGTCCCGTGGATGCTCGATGATGGTCGTGTTTGGAGACCTGCGTCGGAGCCGACGCTGCCTCCGTGTACGGGGGTCTCTGTGCGGGTGAAGAGGAGGAAGAGGACAGGGGCGGAGGCGGTGGAGGAGGAGGGAGCAGCTGAGGGGAAATGTAGCTGGTGTACGGAGTCGTGTAGGGAGAGGCTATGAACTGCAGATTGGGAGGCAGCTGGGTGTAATGGACAGTTCCTCCGACTGCGGACTGTGACTGCGGGGACGTGTACACGGTAGACAGAGACGACACGAGTCGCAGCGAGGAAGAGGAGGAAGAGTCTGATAAGGAGGGCGAGGGTTTGTGCTGGGGCCTGTCGGGCAGAACGGAGCTCCGGTGGGCACCCACACTGCTCTCTTTCCCACCTGCCACAAGCCAGGTCATGTTTTCTGTGCGCTGGCTGTCTGTGGCAGGAGGCAGAGTGGGGGAACGATTTTCAGAGGCTAATGTGCTTGATGGGATCTCCCTCTTCTTTGGGGGTAGACATTCATTACTGCGCTCCTGGTTGGACTTCATGCTGATTTCACTTGACACCTATCAACTAGACTTAGACTTAGTATATCTTTCCTCAAGTTTCAACTTTTCCCGTCGGGTTTGTACTCACGCTGTCTCTTACAATCTTTTTGTTTAACTTTCCTTTTCCCTTTTTCTCACTTTTAATGCTCTATCCTTCCTTTGAAACGACTTAACGTCAACATTAACCTTCAGAATCTGGTGCGCTCCTCTCGATCCGGCTCACCTAAAACAGCTGAGTTGCTAGGTCTTCTGTCGATAACAAAGAAAATGTGGGCTCTGACGGGCAGCTGAGGAGCGATTAAAGATGGAGATGATGATATGGAGGGGATGTCGGAGGGGAGGAGAGGGGCCGGCTGATCCGTCCGGAAATCTTCTAACGGCTTAGGAGTGAGCCCAGTGTGGTAGAGAAGAGCGTGACGACGTGACACCTGCTGCCGCCGCAGAGGACGATGGGGGGCCGAGTGCGTTGCACTTCATGCGGAATCATTTCCCTCCAAAAGAAAGTCCGCTCGCACGCAGCACAAGCCTGTTGAAGACAGACAAACAAACCGTTAGGAAAAGGGAGAAGGGGAATCTGACCCTATAATGCCAAATGTATCATATTTGATACATACTGTACGGTTTCTGAAGTCTTTTGGATATGAGACTTTTTGCATCCTTCAGTGGTAAAAGCTTTGCTCAAACCCCTACACATTCAGATACTATACCTGATAACAGCGCATAGAAGACCACACGAAAATATATTTTTGACTTATTGCATGCTAATTTGATCAAAAGAATTTCTGTTTTTTTTTTCTTCATATGTTGTTGAGGGGCCAAAGAAAGACTTCAGACTAAAAAAATCAGATATTCTTCCTATTTTTCTTGGATCGGGCTTTAAAGGGTTAAGACATATCAAATTAAGGAAATTAAGACAATGGTTTTGCGTGCTGCTTATTTAGCACAAAAAACCCTAAAACACCTCATATGATCAGCACTGATCCGATTTATAAATCAGTGCTTATGCTGAGATAGTGTTTAGAAGACCAAAACTTTGACCATAAAATACCTCGTTCTGATCCATTGAGTGACACAAGTCTATAGATAAACACTGCACACATATAATATTTTATTCCATTGTAAGGTAATGTGTATAAGTCGGAAAATAAATCTGTATAAGTGGAAACAAATTTTTCTAATGGATCAATAGTTGATCATATTACAAACCTGGTCTGTGCACAGTAAGTGTAAGTATGTGTGCATAACCTGAGTGTGCATGTACGTGTATGTGAGTGCCATCTGTTAACTCTGACCCCTGCTGCTAAAGATGGACAGCTTGGTGGGAATCTCATAAATAATGTACAAGCCATTCAAGAACATCCACCCATAAATACTCACATGCGCACACAACCAGGCGCATACCTCTTGCTCACTGGAACGGTGACACCTGGTCGTATTTAATTATGCTGACGCATGCTCTTTACTCGAAACAGAGTACAACTTCACGCACAAACACACATTTGGACTCTCGCTCACTGCACCGAAGGGTAGAAGCTCCATTGTACTTTTCCCATTTAAAAATAAACCCAAAAGTGTGTCAGTTGTAGGACATACACTTATGATAAACCTACAAGTATTCACACAGTTGCATAGTGTCAAAAATGCTTTTTTTCTCTCTTTTCTGAGATTGCAACAAAGGAGATATCTGTCGTCAGCTCTCAGATCCACTAGTCATGCTCTTCCAGCATTGTTTAATATCATCCCTACAAGGATTTATTCTCATCTTATTACTGAGCTTTCACATTGTGGCAGTCTGTAGGGCCTCATGTATGTTGAGTTTGTTTTAATTAATAGAGAGGGTTCAAGGATACCTTCTGAAGCTCCGACAGCTTTCTAACCGCTGTCCATACTGCTTTGATCTTTGCCTAAATTCTTCATCTCCACAGAGTTAGTGTCCTTCATTGCTCCTTGTGTTATTCATCCCGTAGCAAAGCCTCTCCTGAGTCACTGTGGTGTGCATGATGGTCAACGTGATTGTAGGTAATAAAGTTATGCTGCATTAAAACCTTCCAGCAGACTCAGAAAATATATTATACTGAGAAATAGTATAATAAATAGAAGATATATTATACTGAGAAATAGTATAATAGATAGAAGATAGAAGATATAATATACTGAAAAATAGTGTAATAGATAGAAGATAGAAGATATATTATACTGAAAAATAGTATAATAGATAGAAGATATATTATACTATATATATGTATATAGTTTTCTTTGCACACAGGGTTTCTTGCATGTTAAACAGGTTCCTCTGATTTAAGAGGTGCCGCAGTGCTCCTAAAATACAACAGCCCAGGCAGGCGTAAAAGCAAACACACATGGAAATTCGCACACGTGAGTGGAGCAGTTGCTGCCTGTACACGGTTGCTTTCATAGTAGCGAGCACCCGTGCATACTCACAAACACGCCATCTGTTCAGTCCAGCATGACTCAGAAATGTGTGGATAGGTGCTGTTGATAGGTGAGTTTCTTAGTGCTGAGAGGCACTCTTCTCTTGGCTCTCTTTGCACCTCTCTGTCACTCCGCCTCCACTCCACTCCACTCTCCTGCCTCGGCCTGCCAATCTCTCTTACTACATAAATACATTTTCATTTACCGTGCCTCGCTTTAATGGATCTGAATCTTCTATCTCTCTGAACATTTGCCTCTTTCCACTTGGCATCCTTTGTGGTGTTAGTCCACAACCTGAACTCTTTCACCACTTTCCGGGACGATCTATTCACATTTTTTATTCAGTAAAAAAACTAACAGCAACATTCAGTTAGGATAACTCTGGCCAGGAACAAGAAGTTAGGTGTCATAAATGTGACTAATTGGTGGTTGCAATCTGCTTATGGCTGTCTTCCATAATAAAGAATAACCTGAAACTACAGGTTTAGCTAGTCTGGGTGTAGCAGGGAGTCCTCAAATATGAGAGTACAGATACTTTCTCTGCGTCATCAAACCACACTATATGAAAGTCGTCCTCTCACTGCCTGTTTTCTTCATTCACGAACCCTGCATCTGTCTATTGGTGTCCTTGTGCATACATACACAAAGTATCCACAATGCATCAGTCTGCTGTAGGTACACAGTGAACATGCCTTTTCAAAAGTCCCTGACCTCCATCGATGGAAGGGTAGATTGACAACCAAGCCATCTGTGTGCATAACATCAGCATTTCATTCTATTCATTTTGAGATTCAAACAGTACACCGGCTTTTGTTCAAAGTTCTTCCTTTTAATTGAGATAAATTAAGTGCTGTCATTACTGTTTTAAAACGAAATAGCAGTATATAAGTGAACAAAGGAAGGGAAACTCCAAAAAACAAAAACAAAAAACTCCTGAATGAATGTACTGATTTGTTTATCTGTGTCACAGCGGTGAGGTCTAGTTGGGGTTTTTTGTCCTGTCTCCATGTGGTCTTGTCATTTCCTGTTTTATCTTGATAAGTAATCTTCGTCTCGTGTGTCATCTGTCCGATTGTCTTCCCTGGTCACTGATTGTGTTCATCTGGAGTTTCTTTCCCTTCATGTGTCAAATAGTCTGCGATTCCCTTGTTTAATGCCAGTGTGTTTCATATTCTAACCCAAACTGTGCGTTAACTTTGTCCTTGATAAGCGTTATCTTAAATCTACCCGTTTTTTGCCTCGTATTGGGTGATTATTCTTTTGGCACTTCATAGATTTTCAGCCTCGATTCTGGAGTGAGTATTATTTTGTACTTGTTCTGCCTCGTTAGAGAGATTATTATTTGGTATTTTGTTCATAGCTTTGCCTGCCTCGATTCGAGTGATCCTTATTTGTTACTTTCCTAGTCTGTCTGTCCTAATTATTGAGTGATTATTATTTGGTACTTTTGGCCTTGCCTTTCCACTCCCAGCGAGTGCGTCTTTATTTCTATTAAAGTTTTTTTTATTATGATCTCCGTATCCGAGTCCTGCCTTGACTTACCAGTTCTGACAATCTGGCAGAGGGTAGTCATTTGTAGTTATTTCAAATCCTACAGTCTGAACGAAATAAGGGTGGAAATTAGTCACAGGGTAGTGAGTGTCTATACTTTGAAACCTTTGACGTTCACAGCCTGATTTTTCTGAAAATTAGCTGGCACGCAGTCTAAAGCGACACCATGACTGACACACATTTTCAGTGGTTGAGTTCTATGGGATAATAACTATAAGAAAAGTAATACAAAAAGGTTTAATACATAGGTTTCCCACATAAAGTCAAATCTAGCATCAAATAAAATGTAAGGCTTCTCCTGGGCAGAAGGGAAGTAAATGGAAATATTCAGCAACACGACCAGTCGGTTAGAATAATGTGTTTTTATATGAATTCAGAAAGCTACTGATTCAACTGTGCGCATTTAGGAGGCAGCATTTCATAGCTCTGTGTTATTTAGGAATACTGAAATGCACTTGGGTTTCACTCAGTAGACTGAAAACCTTTTCTAAATCAATTAGAAAACTAATTTCACATAAATAATGTGTACATGTTGTATCAGCCAACGTCTAATAAATGGAAACTTGTGTGCATGCATGAATTATATTATATTAGCAACCGTTTGAAAATAGTTTCCAGAAAGTTCATTAATAAGAACAGAGAAACTGAATTGCTTGGCCAAGTGAAAGTCACATATTAAAAAGCATTTTAATTAGATCTGATTTAATTATGGCTTACTGATAAGAACAGAGTTGCAAATGTTTTAAATAATCTTCAGTTAACATGGACTGCGAGAAGAGCACGTATGGCACATTTACAGAATCTGGAAACTGCTTTTATATTTAAATGAATGCTTTTCGCAGACATTTACGATAATAACTCTTAATGCACTCTCTTCTTTACTCATGGCTTGTGTTGCATAAACACAGGCATCTATCATAAAAATCTACCTTCATTTTCACTTTGAACAGCAAAGAGAGATAAAAGGTTTAAAGGACGAACACAATTATGCAACTTCACATATGACTGAAGCCAAAAATATGGCAACCAGAGTG